GCTTATCGGCTGCTGCTCAGCCAGCGCTTATGTTGCCCACGTGTCCGTCTCTCCATCCGTCTGTCCGTATGTCCATTTGTCCGTATGTCTGTCCGTCGTCTCTGGAGCAGGTTTTTCCTTTCTGGAAATTATGCACTTTGTATGCAGAAAAGTTGGCGAGGCGATAAAAATCTGCATAATTCCAAGCCGCAAGTTTATTGCCGTTTCCTAGGCTTTTGGGGCCCGGCAAAGGGAGAAAGATGCTCAGCGGGCAAGAGATAGTAAGAAGAAGAAAAAAAGGAGACCCCAGAGTTTTCCCCCCTTTATAATCGTAATCAATATTAAGTTATATGATAAATTATCGGATACCAAATTGCAGCATTTAACTTGTCAAAGGAAATTATCGGAAATTATGCTAAAAAGGGTTTCAACGGCAGACGCGGAGAAATTACTTTCGGATCTCCAGACGCTTAACTTAACTGTCGATTTGTCTTAAGGGTTATTGGGCTGGAAGCTGGAATCTGGAAGTCGACTTGGACCAGTTAGTACAAGATGGAGGATAAAATATCTTAATTGATTTGTTTAACAATTTCAGAGATTTAAAGAAAGTGACTTAAGTAGTTTTATCTCGGCTTTCTTCAGTAGAAGTTCGCTTCCTATCGTTACCACCCACTAAGACCCCCAAATCTAATCAAAAACCATGGTAAAACATGGCTAGCTAAACACCTCGAGGCCTCCTAATCAAGTTCAGGTGCATGGCCAGCAGACCCCAAACACAAGCTATCCTAATAATGTTCAAACAACAAAAAAGTGCCAATGCAAAAAGTCGAGACAATAAGAAATTGGCTGCACCTGCAATTGTTGGTGGGGTTCAGTGGTGTTCGTTTCGGAAGTCTTGGAGAGGTGGACTGCAGAGGACTGCAGACTGCAGAGCACGTAATTGCCCCACTGGTGGTACATTATGGTTCCATTATGGAAAGGCAGGAAAGGGAGCAGGCATTACTTCTTCTTTGTGGGTAACCCAGAGCCCAGAGCTGTGGATTTGCTGAAGGCAGTGAAGGAATGGGGCACCATCACTTGACGACTGGCTCGGCGGAGATAAAGAACTGATGGCCGATGGAGATATTTCCCAAGAAGCCGGGAGAATTAAGCAACCCGATACAAAAGACTTTAGTGAAATGGAAATTGAGTGGGGAATTACCATAGCGAGGGCAATTTGGTAAGAGATACTAGGTTACTTCCTATGGAGTGAGGTGATGGCTCGAATAAAAAGTGATATAAATCAAAGGAAGCACTAACCCATATTATATTATTATTTATAGAATAGAGTTTAAAGACAATATTTATGAATATTTGAAAGAGATCAAAATCTTTTTGTTAGAAATAGTATATGGATTATTTGCCATAGGTTATTATACTTTACAGAACATTGGATAAACATTTAACATTTTATATTCGGTTCATTAGGAGAATTAGTTACTTATATCGCTATATATTTTATCGCTCTCTTTTTCGAAATCAGAAAACCTTCAATATGCGTATGAATACCAGAAATTTAACATGCGCATATCGATTTGATCCCTGCTCTTTTTTTTGTGTGCAGTCAAAGCAAAAGTTTAGTGAATTTTCTGGTTAATTCAATTACTTTTGAACATTCGCCAAAAGAAAGTCACCGCTGGCCACTGGTTAGTTTGCTTAAATTTATTTCCTTCCCATTCCCGCTCGAGCACCACAATTAGCCCCGCCCTCGATTCAAGACACTTGACGATTGTCTTCCCCGCTCGCTTGAATCTGAGTGCTTTTCCCGTGCTGAGCTAGCACAACAGCTCTCGGCGGCAGAAAACAACATCCGGTTTGCGAGCGACTTCGACTGCGACTGTGCTTCTGCACAAATGTTAATTAAATACCTGTCCATCTATTAAAAAACATACGTAAATTTATGTTGTTAACAAGGAAGTGCGCTCTGCGCATGCGCACACTTTTATTATTATCATCAGCATCGCTGTCTTTTGCCGTCGCTCAGCGAAAATCAGAGGAGGAGAGGCATTTGGCCACCATTTCTAGCTGTCCAACCCACCTGCCTCCCCCTTTCCCCCCAAAAGAAACCCCTGAAACCACCTGTAACTGTTTGCAGCCATTTGCATATGTCGCCGAACGTTTGCGTTGCGGTTTTAACGATGCGCTGCTGTCGCCACGTCGCTACGTCATTCGCTAATTGGTCGAGATACAAATCGCCACGAGAGAGTGAAGTGACGACGTCCAAGTTCCCCGGTCGAAAACTGAAAACACAAAACCACGTCCAAGTCCCAAGTTCCAAGTCCCCAGGAAGAGGATGAGGATGTGAAAGAGGCGTTGCCGGTATACTGACTATCAGCTGTTGCAACTGCGGGTGCTGTTCGGTTTACTGAATGCACTGAAACAAAAATTCTACCAATTACGTATCTTAAATAAAACGCAATTTTCAGTATCCATTGACCCAGGTATTCTTTTTTTTCTTGCTTCGAGCTGAAATAACTAATAATCTAAAATAATGTATTATAAAATGAAATATCTATTAGATACCTATTACTTTTAAAACCTATTTATTTATGTAATTAAATTATTTAATCTAAATAAATAGAATATTTGACTGGGAAATCTAAGTTAAAGCTAATAGGAATATCTATGATGAATAGGAATATCTATTAGAATACTTCTCTATTTCTGTACCTAAAATTCTAAAAAAAGGAAAATTTACACTCAGAAAAAAAATCGCCCTTAATTTTAGAAAATCGCCCGTGATTTTAAATCGCCATTGAATTAAGAAAATTTTTCTAGATTATAGAAAAATTTTCTTAAGTTTATGGAAATTTGCCATAAAATTTTTTATAAAATGAATAAGAAGAAGAATAGTTGATTTTTTTCTTGGATTAATGGCGATATTTTCTTGGATTAATGGCAATATTTTCCGGACTTTTTCTTGAGTTAATGGCGAAATCGCCTTTGATTCTAGAAAATAAATACCTATTTTTTAGGAAAGTTGTGTAATTTTTTAGTGTTCTAGTATGGTGGCCTAGCTGTTAGAGGCGTTCGGACACTAAACATGTGTACAAAAGTCGCCGCGGAAACCGCGGTTCGACTTCACGCAGGGACGAGTCTGATTTTTTTTTTTAATAGTTATTATTTTTTTTTTTTCGTATAAAAAATCTTTTGTTTTGGGTTTCCATTCACTAAATTGTTAAAACTGTTGTTAACAAGATTTAATTAAAGTAATTGTAATTGGTATACCAATAATACGACCGTTAACACTTTAGGCATCTTAAGCCATTGCATTGCAAGAAGCACGCGTGGCCGAGTGGTTAAGATGTCTGTCTATGGTGTGAGCGGTCGCGAGTTCGAGTTCAGGTCGAGGTAAGAATTTTTCCTTAAGTCTTTTATATGTTTACAAAAAGTTTTTTCTGTACTTAAAATGCATTGTAATTAATAAACATTTATAATAAATTTGAATTTAAATTAAATAAATAAATAAATAAATAAAAATGTTTATGATTGTCACTAAAACATGAAAGGTTTCCTCTTAGTTAACAAACCTAAATGCAAAAGTGATAAAAAAATCAGTCGGACAAAATTAAAAAAAAGGTTATAAACAAATATACTTTTATTTTTCTATTTTTAAGAAAATTTTTCTTAATTTTAGGGTTTTTTGCCGTAAAATTCAGAAAAATTGGTTATGATTTTTAGAAAGGCGAAACCGTAAATTCAAGAAAATTATTTCCCATTATTAATGGCGAATCGCCGTTGGCTGAAAATCATAGGCGATTTTCTTGAATCAATGGCGAATTTCTTGAATCAATGGCGATTTTTTTTATGAGTGTAGGAATGTTAGGACTAATATAAAAAGACTTTTTTGAAGTGCATCAAGTGTCAAACTGTCATCATCATGGCAGTGTTCCCCCTCCCCCTGTCACCTTTCCCCTCGCCATTAAGGAGCGGCACTTTCTTTGCCAACCGTCCAAAAACAAATCGGTGGCTGCGGTGCGTCGCCAGATGCTGTCAAATATTTGCTCAAGTGTTTCTGCTTTTCACACCACCCCTTCGGTAGCCCCACTCCCTCCCCTAACTGAAAACTTCCCCCTCTCCCCTTTCCATCCCCTCCCCCTGGGTGGACAAGGCTGGCAATTTGCTTTATGGGATTTACTTGTAGTGGGAATAGGTGGTTTGGCATTTTTGGGAAAGTGGACATCGGAAATTTGGTTAGCCTTAATGCATTCAAGGTGTGATTTTTTCTTTTCGAGGTGCCCCCAAACGAACTGGTTCGCCAAGTGTGGAACTCTTGGGATGAGGATCGCTCTCTAAGCAGTCAGTTTATTTGAGAGCTTGAAGTAGATGAGGTGCTAAACTTGTAGCGGTCATTAGGTTCACCACGTATTAGATATGGATCTTGGATGTTATTCTTGAACTAGTTTTAAATGGGTTTCGTACTCTAGTGAGCATATAGAATAATTGGAGATTCGCAATTGAGCTCTGAGATTTTTCTTAAAATGTTCCTGTAAAACCTGTGTTCATCTAAAAATATACATTCAAGTCTATTCCTGAAGCAGCGAATGAAACAAACACGTGGACTTGTAGGTTAAAGAATAAATGCTCTTTTATTGTCTAAGTATATTTAAACTGTTGGTACATAACTCGCGTGATCTGCGGCTTGAAGCTGACTGACTGCAAAAAGGGTTAGAGTCGCGCTTATCTACGCTTCTTTAGATTATAAATGATGAAAGAGAGATAAGCCGTTACTTTTAAGCTTTTACATATGATTCTAATCTCTTTATGATATTGGGCATATAGAACTGATCATATCATTTACATTTGTTGCTTTGATTAATATTACTTAGTTTCAACAATTCCAGTAAAATAAAACGTTTATTATAGATTATAAATTAAATCATGTCTTTTGTTTGGTTAGATTTGACTACATAAACCGAAAACATTGTTATTTTTAAAGATGTCGTAAAGATGTTAAAATCAATATTATCACTAGAACTTACCTTTGTTCTGTACAATGGATTGCTAAAGTCCCAATCTGGCGCCACAAACAGATATCCGCATTTGGAGACCTTTCGCGATGCCTAAAGAAATGTCGAAAGAGAGAAAATAAATATGTTAATAAATATGATAAACAAAAGTGTCGTATAAGACTAATAAACACATTTCAATGCTGATTTGTTATGGAATATAAATTACATAATTTTGGCTTGAAAGTCTATCTAGTGAATTATGAAAATATTTTCGAGCCGTTCGATAACGAATGTTCAATAAATTACCGAAAAATGTGTAATCTTAATTAGCAAAACAAATTTCTACGGAAATATCATTGGCGAAAAAAAACGAAAAGAAAAAGTAGACAGAGCGCTATCATATCTCGCTTATCTCTTAGCTGGAAAAAAACAAATTTAAATGTATTTTTAATTAAAAAATGCCAAATTTTCTTAGCCCCCTCTTGTGTTTTGGCTTTAACGTTGTCTGCTTATCGCGCACGTGTTACGTTAACTACCCCGCCACTCGATAGATACACTGATAAATTATTCAACAATGTGAATAAATATAATTAGAAAATATTAGAATATTTTATACATTTATTAAGTCTTAACAAATATATTTTATTTAATGTTTAAAGTCCTCAAATTAACTAACAATTAATAAAAACCGCAAAGGAAAAAATTAAAAGCAGAATGAATTTAAAATGAATATGAAATATTGGAGATTACAACCTTTTTTTTATCAGTGTACACACATTTATATTGTTCTTACCCAAACTATTCGTCTAAGCCATGACTAATGTTAATGACGTGCGCCAATTTAACTGTCTGTGTGGCTTTGGCTTTTATTTGTATTTATTTTTATTTTTTTGTGAGGGGGTTAGAGCAAATAAAATAAATTACAAGTAGAAACAACTACAAAAACCAGACCACTGGCTGCCACACATTGGTGGGGTTTCGGGGGGTCTTGGCCTTTGCACACCTCTAGTCAAAAGCAGGCGAACAATAAGCGACAATTGGGCCGCATTTAAAGTGGATTTCAGTCGTTAGTCGCGCCCGCCATTAGGCTGCTGTCGGTGGTCCCTGGTTTCGGATTGTTTTGGTCTGGTTTCGGTGGGTGTCTACTTGTACATATATTTCTTTTCGATTTGACAAAGCTGCAAATGAGAGTGCCAAGTAGGGAGGGGATAGCACAATGCTCCCTCCAATTGAACCCAACTGAACTGGCATTTAATTTAAGGCAACTCCAACGGTGGCCTAAGGTCGTCAATCAGTAGGTAATTAAGGAAAGTGAGACAATCTTAAAATGGCAATACATTATTTTTAATTGATAAAGAATGTAGTTCATAATGCACTGGACTTTAAACAGATTAAGAAACTCCCAAATAAAAAAGATATAAAAAGTTATTCATAAATGCAAGGGCCATACTAAGTAAAATTTCTCAGTAAACAATATTTAATAATTTTAAATAAATATTTTTATCAACTCTACATTGAATTTTTATTAGTGATTTTTAAGAAAAGAATACAGGTTTTAAATAGATAACTAAATATGAAATGTGAAAAAAATAAATAAAAAAACGCATAATCTTTTTAAAAATTTAAAATAATAAAAAAAATACGTAAATTTTTGTAAAATACAATTTTATTGAATTACAATTTTAGCACACTGCCTTTATACTTTACTTCACACTACTTTAGTTTCAAATGAACCACCAATTAAGTCACCTTTTGCAAATGACCAAAGCCACCTCAAATACTGCCTGGTATCCCGATTTTTGACTCGATCCCGGTCGAGACCCCGATCATGTCTTGTAAGCTGACACCATAAAATGTTAACAAAACAATAAAATAGGAAAAACAAAAACAGAAAACCAAAGCCCAAAAGTCCAAAAACGAAATGTGTAATTCGGTAGTTCCCGGCCACTCACTCGCCTCCAAAAACTATCCAACAACTTAACAAAGTCGGTCGAATGGAAAAAAATATACCTCCCACTCCTCTGCACCTCGGAGGTCTAATCGAGCTACTCTATATACAGATTTTCCCCCCTTTTTTTTTGGGGTCTCTGGCTGCCAGGTTTGCAATTACGCTGGCTAATTTTATTTATCTGGTTTGGGTTTTTCTTTTTGCATTTTATGATATTCTCTGTGGTTGTTGTGTTGGATGTTGACGGTGGTGGGTCGTTTAAATGCGCCATTAACATTGATTTATGTGAAAAGTCGCACGTTTGTATTCAAATAACTGGGGGAGAGCGAGAATGAATGAGTGAGAGACTTGCAACAGTTGGTGCAACAGTAGCTGCAATTGCAATTGCAGTTGCAACTTGGAGCTAAGAGCTCGAAGCTTTTGCAGCTGCTGTCAGCCTTTCATCAGGTTAAGTCAGTCGACACGTTTTCCACATAAATTTCAATGGGTCCGAGAAGTTAAGTGACAGAAATAGGTTCAGTTCAGGTTTTAGTGGGTAGACTAGCACCTTCTAACGACCCGTTTTGCGATCGGTGGCGGTGGCTCGCTCACACGATCGCCGAATTGCGATCTACTTTTGTCACAACATTACGGCCACCGCTAAACTGTGCGACTCGTGGGGACTTCAGTGCTCCGATGTGGAAAAGGGGGTCCCAAAAAAATACCGTTGGCTACTCGTAATACCCGAGACCACGTAGACCGACTCTACCAGACATTCAGACACTCAAACATAAATTATCAATGCCAGCCGCAGTCGCTGTTTTGGTTGTTTGCAAAAAATTATATACAAAAAAACTGATACAGGCAACAAAATAGGAAAAATTCGTGACTAAATGAGTCACAATTGTCTTCCAAATTGTGCGAACTGTTTTTCATTTTCATTGCCCCCCAGAAGAATTGATCAAATACAAAGAAAAAGAAACTACTTATATGGATGCTAATATACCCTTAGTAAACACTTTTTGATAATTGTTTGGCAAATGGTAGCTGTGGGAAAATAGTTACTTTTCATAAGGTCAATCATGCAAGTTTAAGACAACAGCTTCTTACATTAAAACTAACAAGATGATTATGAGTAGATAAAATACTAGTAATTAAAAATATATTTAGTTCAAGTATTTTTAAACAATAATTACAATTTCTTATTCCGTAATCTTTACTTTACTACCTATATATTATTTAAAACCTTGGCTACCTGTTCTTAAGTGTATTCCAAGTCTCCAAAAGCTTCATTATTCAGGAGCCAACTTCGAAGGCTTAACCCAACCCAACTTCTGTTTTTAGGGTATTTCGAATCGAAACCAAGCCACATGCTGAATATTTATGCATCGCGCATGTCGCTGCTGACACACAAATGGGAGATTTTCAAATGAAATGGGGCTTACTAAGGGGGGTGGGGGAGTAAAAGGGGGTCTTTGGGGCTGCGCGTGCAGAATTTTGAGTAAGTCTCTGGGATAATGGGCGTGGCAAACGCCCCCAGGCGCTGGCTAATGAAGCAAAGTGCGCCGTGCAAATGTGGAATGAACCAGAAAAAAATACAAAAAAACAAAAGCCCAACTGATTGATCGCGCCGAGTGAGTAACTCAGCCACAAATACGAATGCTAATGACAAATCAAAAGGTTGTGACTGCTGAGAACCGAGTATTAAGTCGGCTATAAGGCAAGGTTTTTGGGCAATTTGTTTCCAAAAAATCGTTCAATTGAAAACCATTACCATTTAGAAGGTTTTAAATTAAAGTTTACTTATTATTCTAAATATTTTAAAGAGGTTATGATTTGTTAATTAATTCAGTTAGAATATTTTTAAAATTGAGTTATAATAAATATAAGAATTCAACATGATATTTAAAATACCTAATAAATATAGGATTATAAAAACAATTTATTAAAAAATGTTTTGTTTTTCTGTTGTTGATATTTAATAAATAAATTTTTGTATTTTAACTACCTAATAAATATACATATCTAAAAAGTGTATAATGAAATGGGTGTCTTTCAATATACAACAAGAAAATGAAGTGAGAATTAAAACTTGTGCTATCTATCAAAGAATCACATACAGAAAACACTCGATATGAAGTCATGCAAACACAATTATGTATGACAGACATGGGTAACTTGGCTAGATCTTAGCGCATACTTATCCGCAATATATATGCAGCTTTATACTTACTGGTTCCGCCAGATTCGACGAGGAACGCTATTGCGCAAGCGTGCAAGATACGAATAGAGAATGCATTCGGTTAGTTCGTTCGGTTGCTGAATTAAATAGTTATAGAAAAAATAAGAGACGGGGGATGGAGAACCAAATGACTCAATTAGCAGCGGGGAAGATGTCTCAGAAGATGAGAGAGGCTGATGCATTTTGACATTTAGCCACATTCGAGATGACATTCAAGCCGTTCGAGATGAGGCCGAACCCCCGGCTGCAAATGAATTTAAATTGCATGAGAGACCGACGACGACTTGTTTTCGATTTAATTTGATAAGAAAACCCAGGGTAGTCGCATACTTATGACTGTGAAATGTCAAATCAAAAGTCACGTTTTTCACTCACAGCCAAGCCGCTGATTTATTGGCAGCAGTCGGGGCTATTAGCTGAATCGTACCGCTGGCCATAAATCGAGAGACTTCGGGCTTCCAGCTTTGAGCTTCGAGGAGCTGTGGAAAATTTCACTTTTGCTGCCGCAGCGGCTAATAAGCCAAAAAGCGATTGACAAATAAACAATTTGTGGCATCCCCTCCACATATCGCATATCACATATATATCTATCTATATATCTATCCAACTTTGTGTTTAGCTAGTGAGCCGCACGCACACGTGGATCATGTCCAAGTCCAAGTCAAAGTCAAGTCAAGTCCCAAACAACTTCGAGTTGGAGTGGAAAGTTGTTTGCAGCTTCAATCTCTTGAATATCTCGTCGAATCTCTTGGGCTTTTAACTCAATTTCAGCCTGCTTTAGCTGCTAGCTTTGTTTGTTTATTTATTTATTTTCCTTCTTTTTTTTGTTTTGTTTATTTATACATGTGTATTTTCAATCTTGCCATTGCATTTGTTGTTTCGCTTCGAGTTTCTAAGTTGCGGCTTAATAGGCAGGCCATCGGATCGGACCAACATCCTCAA